TAATTTATAAATACATAAATATTTATCCTGAGTTATTAATGTATTAATTTTATCATTTTTTTTCTATTTAATAAATGATTTATTTTTTTAAATATAAAACAAATTATAAATTGATTAATTTATTTTGTTTTTTAAATTCTATAAAAACAAGTATAGTAGTTTACACTCCCTGAATCTATCTTATTGTATAGCATATCTCTCTAATTTCTCATATCACTTTTTTTAATAAATAACTATTCAAAGTTTCGAACTGGATAAATAGGGAGCCACTTTAATCTTTATCCACTGAGTTCAAAATTTATTATTAAATAAATAGAAATATATTTAAAATAGTTTTAACAGCGAATGATAAAATAAAATTTTTCTTCTACTTCTATTCCTACAAATGGACTAGATTAGCCGATTAGATTAGATATATGTTAACTAAATAAATTTCCTTTATAATTTTTTTATGCAGAACATAAAGTCATATTTTAGTACTTAATAGTTAACCAGAATTTCAAAATTCCAAAATTAACTTCATTAGTCTTTAAATAAACATTAAGTCTAATGAGTGGCTTTTCAACTAAATATTTGTTTATTTAATTATTGAATATTTCCTTTAGGAAAAATAAACTTTCAACCTCGAAAAGGGAAGTACATTAACAAAACCGCAACTGATAAACCCTCTAATGAAATGCCACTAAATTGGAAAAATTCCTTAATTTCTGAAATTCTAATGATGCATAAATAAACCAAAAATTAAGAATTCATAAAATACTCCTAAAGTCAACTTTACCTGCATAAACACATAAACCCATATACGACAAATAAAAAAGTTCAACCAAAGCAAAATTAAATATTTCCATAACATTGCACAACGACCTCAAGAACCACAAGAATAGAAGAGGAAAATTTGATGGTAAAAAAAGGAAGAAAAAAAATATTTCTGAAGATGGAATAAAATAATAATTCTTAGAAAAAATCACGAGAAAAATATCTGGAAAGTGAAACGGAAGTTGAAATTTTCAAGCAACTTAAATGGTTCAGCACAACCTAACATGAGCATGAAGACAGTTGCGGAAATTGTTGGGGCAGTGCCCATGGCAAGTGCAGATGCCAGTTGTTAGTTAAAGCAGCAGTAGTCGTAGTTCGAGAACCAATGGAAATCGCAACTATAATGGAGGAGTAGAAGAGTGGGAAGTGGAAATAAGTGTAGTCAATATTGCAAGTGTTGGCGGTCGGTAGGAAATTTCAAATATTTATGTGACAGGAAATAAAAAATTACGAATTCAAAATATAAGAGTGCAAAAATGTGGCAGCATAGGTTTAAGTCAACACCCAAAATGTTCTTACCGTTCTGATGTACATGTACGTGATTAAAATTGTTTATGATTAAATAACTTAAAAATAAAATAACAGTATTTTTTTTAAGAAAAAAAAAATATTTTAAAACGTGAAAAAAAAATAATAAAAAATAAGAGCAAAAGGACGAAATTAATTTGTGTGCAGAAAGCGTACAAATTATAATTACAAAAGAATAAAAAAGGAATGTTTGCAAGGAACTGAGGCGTGAGTTAAGCACAGGAAGAACGTGCGCTTATGTACAACGTCGTAGAGCCTGCCATCATACAATGCCTGCCATCATACAATAATATACATAAAACATTAATAGTGTGGCAACACTGTAGGCTGTTGTCTTGGAAAGCATATGAAAATGAACTTCCAAGTACTTTTTTTTCTCGTTTGCTTGCTTGAGTTCATATTGTGTGCATTTGTATACATAAGTCATTTTAAATTAAAAATAAAATATATTAACTAAGACTCAAAGAGAAAAATAAATGAAAACATGACACATAATTTTAAATGCAATTTTTTATAATGTTGCCAACAGATGGTGTCAGTAGCAATTGTTTTAAAAGTACACGTGCACGCCCACGTACACACGTGTAAATAACGCTCGTTTAAAGTTGGTTTATGACTAACGTATTCATTATAAAAAAATTTAAGTCAAAAGCTACCTGAGCTACTTAAATAAATTAATACATATGTTAATATATATATAATAAGGGTTTTTAATATTTTAGTGGGCATATGTGGCAAAAACTGGCTCAAGTTATGTTCAAACATAGTCAGTTGCAGTTTTAAAAATTCTTTAATAATTTATCATACTATAATTTTATGAATAAATTATAATTACGAACTTTAGTAAGTCCTAGGCATAATTTATTAAAGTATTTAGATCGTTAGCTAATACCAGACCCCTCTGATAACACCATGGAGAGTGGCAATAAATAAGTTTTATAAGGCGTTTTAAACATCATTTCATAATTAAATACTTAAATTTAATTATTTTTTCGATCTAAAATCAGGATAGCTGCCGGAAGCTATTGGACGCGGCCAGTAATAACATACGTTTATAATGGCCAAGTAAAGTAAGCAAGTAAGTTCTTAGAAGCCCCAAATATATGGAGCAATCAGGATGCCGAAATGTGGTAGGTAAATGAGTGCATGTGGTAGTCTGTCTTACAGAAAGAAGTTAAAGCGGAGACAGTATGATACTACATTATGCAACGACATGCTAACTGTTTAAAAAACTTAGATACGGACACTTTTATTGTGGACAGAAAAACTACTTAATTCCTGTAATAAATCAAGCAACGACTTTGGAGAGAGATTAAAGAGAGAGAGAGAGAGGGGGAGAGATTTAAGAGAGAGAGAGAGTTAAGAGAGAGAGAGAGAGTTAAGAGAGAGAGAGAGATTTAAAAGAGAGAGAGATATTTAAGAGAGAGAGAGAGATATTCAAGAGAGAAGAGTGGAGATTTGAAGGAGAGAGAGAGAGAGATTCAAGAGAGAGAGAGAGAGATTCAAGAGAGAGAGAGAGAGAGATTCAAGAGAGAGAGAGAGAGACACTGGAATGGAATTAGATCTTTCAGTGATTGCCAGACAGACAGACAGAGCAGATAGGTAACACTTTCCTCATACTCTACCTGATTAGTTGTTCAGTAAGAATAATTAGTTGCACAGTGGTTTTCTGTAAGTAGGCAGACCATTTCATATTAAATAACAACTCTGGATATCTTAATCTAGTGATGGAGGATCGTCAAATAATGGTACGAAGATTAGGGATACAATAAAATTATCAAATAAATGGTGTTATAACTAAAAGTACACTGGTTTAGAAAACAAAATCTGGATTGTAAGTGACAGCATATGAGTGACTGTAGCATACAGCATATGAGTTGCAAAACTAAATTTAATTCACATCGATTACTTCTCACAAGCAGGCAGTCAGTGTTCAACTTAACATATATTTATATTACACGTATTAAAATAGATAGAAATTACAGGATTATCATCAAAAATGTTGAAAATGCAAAATAAAAGAGGAAAAATGCAACAATAATAAAAAGGAAGTCTAAACAATAATAAAATAAGTATCAAGCAAGTCAAATCTGTCAGGATTGAAAATAGCTGTATGGTATATAGTGTTGTATAAATATTTTAAATGTTAAAAATTATTGAATAGCTGTTAACATTCGATGCAAAACATTTCAAATTATAACTGTAAGTTGTAGGTGGAGTGACATAGACTTCGTTTTGGAAAATATATCTCCTTAAGTAATAGAACATCATTCGCATTTGTATATTTATAAAAAGTTCTATTTTGCACTATCAACCGATTTTGATATCGAGTTTATTTCTGAATAAATCTGTC